AGATCCCAGTGTCCCTAACTTTTCTACCCATTTCTAAGACTCTAGGTGCTCAGGAAAGTAGAAAAGTACCTCCCCCCTTGCACTGACACTTGAATGCTGTCAACAGAAGTGCTCTTTTGAAAAGAGGGCTGTAGGCAGGGCAAAACAGTTGTTTGGCAGCAAAGTGTGCTGATTTCATATGTATGTACCCCACAGCAGGACTGGTTGCCCAGGTTCAGACAACATGATAACCTTAACTCATAGATCATCCCGTGGGTTCTCTGAATGGCTGACTGAAAATCAACATGACACCCTGTGGGAAGTGGTCTCGGTTCAGACAACATGACAATCTAGTAGGGCTAACTACCCATGATGGGTTGTGGTGTTGTGTGAAGCTGGGCACTTGGAAGGGAGTTTGATTACAGCCAACTAAATTTGCTTCCTAGCATCTAGACTTGAGTTTGAGTGAAGAATCTGGGTTAAAAGTCTGTTCTTGCTGCTGCCACTGATTTCAATCTGTTATTTAATCCTCCCTTTTTCTAGGTAGGGCTCCTGTGCCCTTAGCAACTCTGTGGCTGGCAGAAATTTAATACCTTGCTTTCCTTAACATAGGGGCTTGCTGACAAGTTGGCTTGTAACGACCCTATGACTGAATTCCTCCAAAATGTCCTGTCCTTGACATTTTGCTCAGCCCTTGTACACTGAAGGCTGTGGCTTCCCTAATGGAGGCAATCCATCTCCTATTTGGTCTTCCTTTGCTTCTTCTGCTTGCTTCTTTTGCCTTCAACTCTCCCTAGCATGGTTGCCTTCTCTAGTGTGATTTGCCTGCTCATGATGTGCCCAAAGTATGACAGCCTCAGTTTTAATAAACACTTCTAGGGAAAGTTCTGGCCTGATTTAATCTAGGAACCATTTGTTTTACTTTCTGTCAGCAGTGATGGAAGAATTCTGCTGTTGAATTTCTGCCTATCAGGTGGCAGTTAAGGTACAAGAGCTGTGTGTGCGTGTGTGGGAGAGGGAATAACACTCCTCCCCTAAAACCCCCAATATTATACCTTTCCACAATCGCCAAGCACATACCCTTACTCATTCACAACCAGACAAAAGGCATGCATCCTTTTTATCTAAGCAAAATAAACAGCATGTTTAAGGAGTACAGCTATAACTGTTTCACAGTTACATTAGAATAAATCCCAGTGATTGCAATGGGTCTGAATTTTGAATAAAGGGGACTATGCTATAAACCACAGTCTTATATCATGTCCGGTTACACAAGAAGCTTGGTAGGCCCAGCTCTCAAATCTGTTGGAAGAGGCAGCTCATGAAAGGATCGCTTCCCTTACAGACTCCTCTTCCTTAGGTAAACAATATATATTTTGGCAGGTGCTCATGTCATTCAGTGGTTCACTTTATTATCATGAAGCTTTCTCTCTCCCTCCACACCCTTAAGGACCTATATTTTGTTACTTGCAGGCTTTTAGTTCTGCTCTCATGCTTTCTACATACAACTGCAGCTTCCTGTTTACCACAATGGCCAGATCAGATCAAGACGAATGAGTCATGCTATGAATCCTTCCGAATCTTTGTTTAAATACCTTCATTAATAGGTCAAATTTTCAACTTCATTCAATAGTGCCCAATTCAACTGCCTAGGTATTTGAAGCTAACTGCCTATTTTTGTAAAACGCTTGAGCCAGGTTGTACAGGCAAAATGTTGACAGCTTCTGCAATTAATATAGAGATTTTTTAAAAGAGAAGCAGGGGAAAAATGTATAAGAAAACTGCTTTCGTGTTTTAATGATGGGAATTGTTGGATGTTTCATTGATCTAAGCATGGGTAGTAGTGTACCTTTACCATTCTTTAAAGGGAGATTTCCTTAACTCTCCTTCGTGTAAGCTCTTTCATAGCAGCCTAAAACTTACTTTGGTCAAGGCACAATCCCATGCCTATCTGGACAGAAAAAAAAAATCCTACAACTCCAGTATGTCCCAACCTGCTTGGCTATAGCACCTTTTTTCCACCTATACACAAATAGGATTATGCTATATGAAAATTAATTAAGCTTCAAAGCTTCAGCATGCCACCCAAATTAAAACCTCTGACTTTTTTAATGTGGGGGGTGGAAAGGTTGGGAGTTGAGTTTGTTTTCAAAGAACCACATTGTTATGGCTATGAGTTATAGAAGAAGCAGATCTGGAAAAAAGCCAGACTGTTAAGGTCTCTGCTTTTATATGTGTTCTTTAAAGTCTATGGAGAGTTTGTCCATAGGCCTAAATGCTTGCTCAAGAATGAGTCTAATGAATTCTATGGAATTTATTTCAATATAAATACATTTACGTTTTAAAAGCTTCTGGTTAGCCACTCCTGCATCTTAACTCAGTCTATTAAAACAGACATACAACTAATTGTGCACATTTTTATAGGCAGGATGCTTTAATCCGTCCCCACAGCACCTTTGAGAGGCAGGCCATTAATACTGCACTTGTCAAATGAGGAACTAAGTCTTTCTAGCAACTACTCCCAGTTATTATTATAATTATTGAACTCTAGGGTAGATGCAGCAGCCTGGTCTAAATCTTAAAAGCCTCCCATGCGTAGTTGTGATTTAGACAGTGCCTACCATAGAATAAGAAGGCTATGATACCGTATCAAGAGAAAATTGAAAGTGTTTAACACTGGGAAAGACTGAGGGTAGATTCATAGCAAATATGTCTGTTGTGTATGCCCTAGGAGGAAAGCCCTTCAATTCCAGTCATGCCCAAGCCAGTCACATCTGGAGCATGGTGGAAGTTTCTATGTTAATGTGCACAGAATTGTGCCCTTAGTCTCCCTGAAATGGAGGTCAGGAGATCCAGACAGTGCAAGCAGAGCCTTCAGTGCTTCAGAAAGACAGCACCCAGAGTTACTAAGGAAGCACAGTATAGCTGCTCTGCCTCTTTTTAATGTATTTTAATTTTTTGTTATAAGCAAAAATAAGACATTAATTAATTAATAAAATCCAGATTTTTGAATCAGGGCAATTAGTTAATAAAAGTCTGGTCTGGAAGATCCCTCACTGTGGGATCTGTTGCTTCATCTGGTAGTGGCTTGAAGATAAGGCCATGGGTGAAGAGTGCATTAGAGACTGAGGATGAAGAAGGGAAAGGTGTGCGGTGGGGAAGGTTTTAGGTCTTGGTGGTCCTTCTTTCGCAGTTACAGAAGGGTATACATGCTGATGTCCTAGCATACACACCAGAAGCACCGTGCTGGTTGTATGTACTGCTCTATACCTAAGAAATCTGGTATGACTCACAAGTGACCAAGTGAGCATTTAATGACAGGAGTGACTTAACACAACTTAGGTACTTCACGAGCCAGTTTTGTTATCTTGTTTACTATTATTTAAAAGCTTTCAGAGATGAAGCTAACATGGAGTCCCTGCATCACCCCCTTTGTCAGTATAACCAGTTCTGATTACTCATAGCAGGAGTTCCCAACCCTAGTCTTTACTCCACTGGTTTTCACTGAGGTTACACCATATCTGCAAACTGATGAGTACGCTTGTGTTCCTGTAACCATCAAAAGTCCCTGATGGCCATACCTGAGAAACCTTGACGCGTGTGCATTTAAGCATGCACCTGAACATAGTGAACACAGACAGGTACCAGCAAGCTGCTGCTTTGACCTGGATCTCCAGAATTTCCACTATCATCAGTGAAGACTTGGCTTTGACCTGTTTGTCCATAAGAATGCATACAAGTAATAAGCACTATGGACAAACTGTATTGTGTGAACAGGCTCTTAATAGACAGCTAGAAAAAAAGTAGTGTTACACTGGTGTAGATTGTAGAACATGGAGAAGTGACATTCTGCATTTGCACAAGTATAGCGTCAAATATTCATGATTTGCTGCTGAAGACTGACATGATCCTCATGAAACTTTTACTAGCTGTTGTCTGGATACTGTGTACAATATACCAATATAATGATGAAATATTGATCGTTATATGGATCATGTTTCTGCTAAATATATAGCTGCATATTTGTCTGCTTTACTGTTGATGGTTTTCAACCATTTAAAGGAAGTAAAAACAGTTAAACATGAGGATTGCCAGCCCAACCATTCAAACTTGCAAAAGGAGTTTTTCAAACTATGTCTACAGATTAAAAGGAACTCTAGTGAGTGGTGTTTGCTTTTATTAATGGAGAATTTTTCATTGCATATTGAATGGTATAGTATTTCATTGCAATACTATCCAGGAATGCTAAGGCTATCAGACTGTAGTGTTGATAATAATGAGAACACTAATGAAACAGGAAACTAAGGGAATTTTTTTTCTCACAGGCCTCTGCCAAAGAAAGGCTTGAGAGAAAAGATTATGCCCCACTCTCTTTAGGAGAAATCTGGATGGGCCTGCTGAGGGGGCATGGGGGGCGGGGTGAAGCTGTTAGCAAGTTGTGCATTTGCCCAGAGGACAAGATGGTTTTATAGTTGAGCAACTTTTTTGAGCTGTGTCTGTGCATGTCTGTGCATTCAGCTCTGCTCCTAAACAGGGCTTGTATCAGATCTACCTACTAAGACAAGGAGACCAGCAGTTGATGCAAAGTATTAAAGTGAATAGAATCGAGGCTTCTTCTGTATGCCAAAGTACCCCTTCCAGCGTTTGCCCTGCTCTCAAGCATCCTCCCCAAGCACATCAAAAAAGTTTTGCCTTGGTACCTAAGTACGAGCCAAGTTGAAGAAGAGCACAGACAGCCAAGGCCCAAAGCCCCTATGGGAGCCCCGCATACATTATCCTTTTAAGCGTGCAACGTGGGCGAGAAGATGGTGACTGCTCAGTCGGGAAGCAGAGTCACTCTGTACATGCCCAGAGCCACATTTTAGAAGTAGGATTTCACATGCCCAGATCTGAGCTCCGAAAGAGACGAGCACCCCGGGTAGGAATACCCTTTCTGCAAACCTTTGTTCTCCACGAGACCTCCACAACCCGGTCCTTCACCAAGCTTTGTCTGAAGCCGAGAGCCCCCGGAGGCCACCTACCTCCTCCGCTGCGTGGTCGTGGCTCTGGGTCCCGCCATGCCAAGATCCCCCGCTCCCGATCTAAGGTGACCTCTCGGAGGCGCTGCCCCAGCACCAGCGAGGAGGTGAGCCGGGTCCGCCGGCCAGCCGGGGGGGAGCGCCCGCCCATGGTTCTTCAGTGCCCCGGCTTCCTCGGCTTGAGCGACATGATTGGGGAGCGCGATCCGGGGCTGGGCGAGCGCCGCCACCGGAGACGATGGTCGAGCCGGCGCGCGCGCCCGCCTGATGTTTCAGATTCTGTTATCCTCAGAATTTGCGGGTCCGCTCCCACGGAGCATGCGCAGGCGGCCGCGCGCACGCTCAGTGGCCTGCCCTCGGTCGCTCCGCTCCCTTGTTGTTCGAAAGAAGACGAGGAGGAGGAAGCGAGGCAAGTCGCCGGGGAGCGCGACCAGTCGTGCCGGGCCCGACCTGGACTGGGTCTCAGAGGCTCAAAGGGCAGGAGGGAGCGAGGCCAGAGAGCGCAGGGAGATGCACAGCCGCAAAACGGGATGGGAGCCGCACGAGAGAGAGGAAGAGCGGCGGCAGCGTCTGCAAGAGGCGCATCCCGGCAACGGCTGTCCGCAAAGACATGAAAAGAGCCCTGGGTCTTCCTCCCTCCTCTCCCGGTCTTGCCGGATTTGCCCCATGGTTCCAGGCGGGAGCTTGCACAGGGGCAGGGCTGCCTTGCACAGGGGCAGGGCTGGCGCTGCCAGCTCTAAAGCGATGCGTCAGCCAGCCGGCTAAGCTGCAGGAGACATTGTAGAAATACTGGGCCAAATCGTAGTCCTCCACCCACCCCCACCCCCCGGCCACGTGTCGAGGACGATCATTGCTCCCTTGTGCAGTGATTGGCATAATTACACCTGCTATCCAGCTTCGCCTTACTTCCAAGTAAATATGCCAGTTGGTTCCGGTTCCCAGTTGGTTCCAGTTTCTACCTGAAACCCACATCCATGGTGCCATCTTGTTTCTCTTGTCTGCTAACTGGACATTGCAGAATTTGATTGTTTACACATTTATCAAGTCAGGGCTTCCAAATTCTTTTTCATAAGTGTATCAGTCTTAGGAGGTCCCTTTCTCCAAGAGACAGAAGCTAAAAGGGTGATAATCTAACCTATATTTTCAAAGTATTTTGTGTTCACTTGATGGTATTGACAGGTCAGGGTGATTCCAAAAGAGATCTTTATTGTGCCATAGTTCTGCTTCATGCAAGGAATTTTATAGGGGGTCCATACAACAAGGCCCTTAACTCATGAGCTTCCTGTATTTTCCCACCACTTCTGTCTTTTTTCTAATCACAGAGTATCTGTTCAGGCAGAAAAAATGGAATAGCTATCTGGTGCCTTTTGATTAGTAACATTCTGTGCCCTCCATCTGGAAGCACCCAGAGATTCTCATCCATGAGAGTTCCCCTGCCACATATATTGGCAGGCAGTTAAAGTTCCATAGAATTTCTTCTTTTAACTTTCCACACTGAAACCAATTGCTGGGCCCCAATTAAAAATACTGCCACTATGCATTTTCTTCAAAACATTCCAGAAAGACTGCAGTTAGCAGAGGCACGCTAAAAATAGGCTGTCCAAATGTCTGACCTTGCTAAATTACAGGACAATGGCAGAGTGTTTGTGGTACAGTGTTTTTTTCTGTGTTTTGTTTTGGTGGGGCACACAAACACATCAGTCAACAGTTTAGCGTATCTGAAATGTAATGGTTTCCATTTAATAGGCTTCTTCATATTTTGTTGGTAAACATGCAGATAGTTTTGGTTATACCCCATTCCTGTGGGAAAATGCAGTAATTTTCAGTTAGCAATGTAACATATGGCATATTAAGCCATGCTGCATATAAATGACTTAGAAACTACCAACAGGTCCCTTAAAAAACACAAGGGGAGAATATTTAGGCTCTAAAAGATTATGGCTTGAACTCTAAAAGATTTCAAACACTGGCACTGACATCTGTGTAATATATATCTATCTCTATATGCATAGGGTTGCTCCCAGATCACACTGCCTCAGTCCTAATTGTAATTCCTGGCTGTCTCCCAGTGGTTGTTGTTTCTGTTTTCAGTTAATACACCACTCTTGAGTTGTTACAAATGTGCAAATCTTGAAACTCCAGGTTATTTATTGGTTAAGCAGCCAGTGGTAATCCATAGTTTGTTGCTGGGTTAACTCAAGACAGTTGCAGGGCATGAAATGGCTGGCTGCAACAGTGTATTACATGACATGCATGAACAGGAGAGACAAGAATTATACCCTCATCCACTCCAAAATTTAACTTTTAGAGACACCAGGAACTAAGTAATCCCTGGAGATGACCAACATGCACTAACAATTGGATAGTAAGAAATCCTGAAAAGGCAAAAATAGGGTCAGAAACTAAGAATGTTTCCAGAGATGATTCCTGGGCGGTACTGATGGTGCAGCTATTCCATCTTTTTATCCTGAATACATTTTCTGAGGTAGGAGGGGAAGAACGAAAACAGGAGAGTCACAAGTGGAAGATGTTTTCATCTGGATTACCCTAAACTCTGAATCAGGCAGGGTGATTGCACCATAAAGGTCTTGACTACAAGGACCTTGTGATTTAACTGGAAGTAAAATGTATGGACGTTTCGAGGGTTGTGTTCAAGGGTTGTAAAGCAGCTCCTGTTGGAGTGCAGGTTGTGAAGAAAGTGCTGTGTTTGTCCATATTTTGTACATGGAAGAGCCAGCTTCAGATCATAGCTTAGTCTTGGTGGATTGGTCTTGGACCAGCATTTCTCTGTGTGTGTCTTTCTCTGCCAAACCTTCCTTCCAAGATTGCAGTGTGAAAAGGAAACATGTAAGCTACCCAGAATCCTTAAAACAGGACCGAGAAGTTGTGACACTAAAATGCTTCTTATCTGCTGTGTAAAGGCTATTAAAGTACAAAGAGACTGTGTGGGTTTGGAACCTTTTGAGTTTTTCCTGTGGTGTAAAAGAGTGTTGCAAACTATGATGCCATCTCATGCTTCATCACAATGACTGGTGTTCTTGGGAATCAGCCAGGGTGTAGTAGAAGTTACTAAAAAGAAAGTAGAACTCACTAAGTGATGGGAGTAGGGCTCAAGGAAATGTATCATTTGAAAGAATAATCTTGGTTTCATATTTTTAAAGCCACAATTTGATATAGTCCTTTTCCTTGGTTTCCCGTGTTCATTATGTTCCTGCTAGAGATGTTGTGCTCCTCCTTAAAATGTGATGCTTGATACAGATATGACTGGACAACAAGAAAGGTGGATTTGTTCAAGTTTGGCATTCCTGCTTATAATCTAACCAATCTCTCAAGGGCCGTAAAGCATGGCAAGGCACCAAATTGTACCATTCTCCTCTCCTGTGTGTTTGTTCCAGAAACACCTGTGACCGGCTTCACCAGGTGCTTTCGTCAGGGGGGTTCTGTCAACTACTCACCTGCCACATCCCGATGGGAGAGAGGAACAACGACTCTCCAGGGCAGGTACCCACTCAATAACACTAGTGGGTTTTCTGGTGATTCCCACTCTGAAAAACCACACTGGTTGCTTTATATAAACAATGTGGCTTTTCAAGGACCAGTAGTAGTGACAATGGAAGGTTATAGAGGGGAGACACATGGACTTTGCTGATCAAAAATGCATGAGTAATGAGGCTGTGTATAGCTTGGCTGATCGTTAGTCTTGTAGGCCTAATCAAATTGCTTACCTCGGTTAGAATGAGGTGGGAATTAACCATAAATCTGGTTAGCTGGATAGTTGGCACTGGCATGTAGAATTATAAAAGCTGGAACAAAATCATGGACATGCATGAGAGTGATAAGAGTTCGTAGGCCACAAAACAAAAATGTAGAAATTGATGTATTTATTATATCCTTGGTGCCTTGACTTTATATAGAATTACAATGCAGCATCTGATTTAAATAGGCAATATAAAAGACAATCATAAAATTGTTGTTTTGTGCTGTCAAGTCATCTTTGACTTATGGCAACGCTGTGAATGAAAGCCCTCCAAAATGTCCGTCCATGACAGTTCCATTCAGTCTTAATTCAAAATAAATTGTTAAAAACTGTCAGAAAAATACCATCAGATAACTGTAAAGTCTTGGACCATAAGGAAGGCTGAGTGCCGAAGAATTGAGGCCTTTGAATTCTGGTGCTGGAGAAGACTCGTGAGAGCAAAGAGATAAAACCAGTCAGTCCTAGAGGAGATCAACCCTGACTGCTCTTTATAAGGCCAGACAATGAAGATCAAACTCAAATACTTTGGCCACCTAATGAGAAGGAAGGACTCACTGGAGAAGAGCCTAATTCTGGGAACAATTAATGGTAAAAGAAGAAGGGGATGGCAGAGAATGAGGTGGCTAGATGGAGTCACTGGGGCAGTGGGTATGGGCCCTGGAGAACTCCAAGGGATGGTTGAGAGCCTGGAGGAATGTTGTCCATGGGTTCGTGATGGGTTGGGCACGACTTTGCAACTAAGCAACAATAGTAAAGTCACTGTATGTCACTTGGTTGTTAAACACTGTCAAGTCATCCCCAACTTAATGAGGCCCTGTGAATGAAAGTCCTCCAGGATTTGCTATCTATGGCATTCCTGTTTAGCTGTTCTAAATTCAATGATGTTGTTTCCTTTATAGAGTCAATCCATCTTGAGAGCCTATGTGGTGTAGTGGTTAAGAGCAGGGTCTGGGACTCGTGATATGGATGCTAGTCCCTGCTCAGCCATGGAGCCAACTCGGTGACTTTGGGCTGGTCACAGGCTCTCAGCCCAACCTACCTCACAGGGTTGTTGGTGTGGGGATGATTGAGAGCAGCAGGAGGAGAAAGCTATAAGACTCTTTGAGTTCTTTGGAAAAAAGCAGGATATAAATAAATAAATAAATCTTCCTTTTCTTCTTTTGCCTTTGACTTAGCCTAGTATGTCTGTCTTCTCCAGGGAGTCTTGCCTTCTCATGATCTGTTTGAAGTATGACAGCTTCAGTTTGGTAATTTTTGCTTTCAAGGAAAGCTCTGGCTTGATTTGCTCTGG